CCCCCCCTCCCCCAGATTTTTGTTTGGCAGTAAAGTAAGAACGAATCGAATTATTCCTTCTACTCATCGATAAGAGTGTGATAAAATCAAATTTTAAAGTCCATGTAATTTAATGAGTTCACGTTTAATTATTCGACATAATTCATTATATTCTCAAATCGTTGAAGTTAGTTACCACGTATAAGTCCTGTATTGTTACAACATAGTGTTTATTACAAGATTTGATCTATTTAAGCACTGCGCGAATGATGAGTGACAGGCAAAAGTTTTCTCATTGTTGCCAATATGATAGGAGTGGATGCTCCTGCGACTAAATGTATAGCTAACAAAATTGTGAGATACTCTCAGTCCTCAACATTCGAAACTATTTGACTTGTTCAACCTTTGAAGTTTCTTTATAGTACGAGTTTCTAGTGCACTAATAATACTAAAAGATTCGTACGAAAAGAGAAACTTAGAGGATGTTTGTAAAACCTCCGAATGAAATATTTTCGCTCTACATATGCCTATTTTCGTCAAAATTTGTTCTTTCCTAATTAATTAATTGTTGTCTATAATTTTTATTACTTTCAGTTCTTCGTCGTTCCGACAGTTTTCACTGTGTGCTGCATTATCTCCGGTCTCCTTGCAACAATGGTTGTTTTGGGGAGAATGTTTAGCACTCCGATCGCTTACAAGGATTTTTTGAATATGAGGGAGGAAATGTTGAATCATCAGGGTATGTGAGATCATGTTGAAGTTTTTCCCTATAACAGTTACTATCCCCATAACTTCCCTCTTAAGATTCAGTGGACTCAGCAGTAGACAAGAGACAGCGATCATACTCTGGCACATCCTCGATATCTGTCACATCGGAGGATTATCTGCCTAAACCTTTGTGCCGGCGCCATTCAGTCAGTTACAACAGCCTTTGCTCAAGACCACCAAGTGTGAATCGAAAATACAGCTACGCTTATTCACATTACAATGCGTGTGATTCTGACGAGGATGAACAAAATCGACAATGATTTATATGATGTTCTGTATTTATTCGCCGTATTTTGCCAAGTTTCATTCGGCTCAGTGCTCTTGTACTCGTTCACTACTTAATTTTTGCTCAAATACTCTTTTCTGATGCTCATTGTCAGCATTGATTGTAAAACCTGTTCATATTGCAATTTTGAAGCGCTATTCTCTCGTAGTAGGTCGTTACGGGTTTAGTATTTGTGCTCTGTCACACAATAAATATCATATCTTGTTGAAACATGAATGTGCAACAGA